GTTTAGAAGTTGTGATCTGAAAATATAAAATCTGTTTTTTTTTTTTTTTTTTTTAAATGTGAATATTTCACATTCAAAAAGTATGTATTTGTTTGTATGAAACACAACAAAACTATGGTAACATTTCTTTGCTAAATTTAGTTACATATCTTATCCTAACTTAAAAGTTCATATTTTGAGAATAATAGATATTTTTTAATAAATAAACAAAAGGATATTAAAAAATTAACAATTAACATAAAGCATTTGGAAACCTGTCATAACAAAAGAGATATTAATGTATGTTCTGGAGTTGCAAAGTGGTTGGCTTCCGCACATGCTTAGTACATTCCTTATTGAATATGGTATTTTTCATACAGACACAGTGGAATAGTTTTCATATTCATCTTTTGTTTCTTGCATTATGAATACAATTTATCAACCACAAATAGATCAACGGGATAGATCGAATACAATTTATCAACCACAGATAGATCAATAGATCAACTGAACAACTAAAAGATAAGTTAATTAAATTGAGTTCATGAAGAAAACTAAGCCAACCTCCCTTTTTATGGTCAATTTGTTATAATCTTGAAATAATAAATCTAGGAACAGTTACCCACATCAAGAAAGGTGTGACCATTTTGAGTTTTTTTATTTATCGCTCTACGATGCGCGTGGTAAGATACATTTGTAATTCAATACTAGTTTGCTTATAATTACAATTTCATTAATATAATATTGGTTTAACAATTTGTAAATTTAGAGATTTATAAGCTGCATGCAGCATGCTACTGGTGATCTACATACGTAACGCCCCTTTAAAAGAGATCTATTTACACCTAATGTTCATAAAATATGGAACTGCGGTCTTTTTTTAATGAGGTCGAGGGAATGTATTAAAGTCGTTAGCGATGTAGCCTTCATAGCCATTATGGCTGATTGCAATGACATTGCCTTTACTCACGTCTTCGTAGATTCATACCATAAGTATTATTGTTGAAAATTGATTAGCAAATTGTTATCTAGGACTAAAAAAACCTCGATCAATGTAACTTTTGTTCTAGTAGACACGTAAATCTTATAGGATGTATGATTTCGAATAAAATTTGGTTAGGCTAAAACATGCAATTCCGACTCAATGTGTCAAACTTGACAATACTGGACTTGAGAAATGGGCAATGGTTTCTCTCTGTTTCAATATAGCGACCCTTAAAATTCTCTTTTGGTGTTAATAATACATACTGTCTGAAACAGAAGAAGATGAATACTAAGCACTTCGTTAAAATATAGTGTCGAAAATGAATAATAGTATACAGTCGGAGAGAAGAAGATATGGAGGAGAAGCATCGACTTGGGATGAAAACAAGGTTTGTAGGGCTACTTCCGGGCATTAGTTTATTAACTGCAACATTTCCTTAAAGGTTGATAACATTGTTACTAAAATACCCTTCCGTGTAAACTTTTAATTTAAGTTAACAGAAAAATTCATTTTATTGCAAAGTTACAGTGTCATGGCTGTTTTTGTTTTTACAAAATATTTATGTTTTTGTATGAACCCCCCCCTCTCTCTCTCTCTCTCTCTCTATATATATATATATATATATATATATATATATATATATATATATATATATATATATATATATATATATATATATATAAAACAAAACTAGCTAAAATTGTTAATGAAAATTTCATTTTTAACAAATTTTTTTTATAAAAAATAATTACTAAAATCTAGACCTACACAAAAGGATTGGTCTCGGACCAAACCCGAAAAAAGACCGAGACCGGACCTGTCTAAAACACACGTGGCTGTGCCAAAAATAGATCATATCAAAAAAAGACCGGCTCGAGACTGTCCAAGAAAAATCGAACCGTTCCAAGACCGACACAAGACCGATCTGAGATCAACCCGAGAACGGTTTGAGACCGATCTCAAAAAAGACTACTAGATGAAATTTACAAATATATCATTTTTGTGTTAATTATACAATTGTTAATCCCACAGTGCGTAACTTCATTTCTTTTTTTCTTTTATTAAACTTCAGTGTATCATTTTTAATAAAATCTAGTCCATCATTTTGTTATTAATCACACATTTGTTAAGGGAAAATGTCGAAGCTGAAACTAAAAAAAGCAACAAATATCAAAAGCGGGTCGAAAAAACCCGAAAATCTACCGGAAAACCGAACCGAAAACAACGTGTGGAAAGACTGCGAGACCGGGCCGAAAAAGACCTAGACCGGTCCCAAAAAAGATCGGACCAAAAGAGATCGATATGAAAAAAGACCGGACCGAAAAAAGACCACCTCAAGACCGGTCCGAAAAAAGACTGAACGGCTCCGAGAACAACCACGAAAAGACCGGACCGTTTCAATACCGATCTGAGACCGTAAATATGCATTTCTACTAAAATGATACTAAAATCACAGACGATTAAAAACTTAATGCGATTTGATGCTCGTGGGCTATGAAATTAGTCCATAAGCCCACAATATTTCAACCCCATAATTAGAAACCAAATCTCATTTTTAAATTTTGAACTTAAAAATTCCCTCTCTATTATCTCTACTTTCTAATATTTAAAAAGAGCTAGCATAATTTGATTATATTTTCTATAACCAATTTATTCGCATTTTTCATTCAAGCTTGAACACTTCTAATGCACGTATGCTATACAAATTATATATGTTGATGTTCATATATTCATGATTAATCTAAGTATTCACTGGAAACAAATATACTAATTCCTATACAAATTATATATTTTGCATTCAAGCTTCAACACTTCTAATGCACTTATGCTATACAAGAAATGAGTACTTAAAAAAACCCCCTAAGCAATTTACTGTGCCGGCACTAGTCGTCGATTAACAATGCATGTTCTTAATGCAAATTTGCTTATTTGTACTTTGTAATGTGTATATAACTAAAACACTAAACTAAAGAACTATTATATATTTAAAGTGAATTAAAAAATTAATTTCATGTATGCAAATTGGGGGCGTATCTATATATCTTAATGTATCTTCAAGTTCTTAAGCCATTAGAAAATACGGAGAAAATCTTTAAAGTTTAAAATGTCAAAATGAGATTTGATTTCTGATTTTTTTGGGGTTTAAATATTATGGCATATGTGCCAAAAACATGCCACGAAATCACAGGCAATTAGGGTTTAAATGACTATTTTTGACAAACTTGATTTTTGTTTTGTGCTAAAGGCTAAATGGTTTACATATTTTTATTAGATTTATAATATTCTCTAATATATAAAGTATATTTTTAGTCAAAATTGTAAAAATGAGTCCTATATTTAGTTAAATATTAGAACTTTTGGTCCAAATTTTTTTTAGAGTTAATTGGTCCAAAATAGTTTTCGGTCTAAATCTTTTGAAAGTAAAATGACACACTTTCCCTTTTAATTTTTTTAATTTTCTTTTATTACACCATTTAAAAAAATAAACAAAATACCACCTAACCCCCCACTCTCTCTTGTTCTCTTTACAAAATATCTCCATCGTCTAAAAACAAAATACCTTTCTCTTGCCCTCTTCATGTTTGAGATGCTAATCTGAAAAATAATTGTTTCGTTTTTCAAATCTGAAAAAAATATGGTTTGACTCGAGTTGGTGGTGATGGTGTCCTGTAGCAGTGGTGAGTGGTGGTGACCGGCAACGTTGATGAAGTTAATGTGTTAAAGGTTGGGGTTGGGTGTTTTTTATAATCATGAAAATATTAAATAAAATAAAAGAAAATGAAAAAAGAAAATACCAAGAGCAATATCGGTATTTTAAATAATTTAAAATAAATTGGACTAAACCTACAACAAAATAAAATTTTTGGACCTTTGCTAATCCAAATTTTTTTAGACCAAAGTGGTAATGCTCGACATATCATAGAGACTATTTGTGCAGTTTTGTCTAAAAGCAATGTAAAAGAGCAAAACAATCATTCTAACTCATATAAATTTCTTAAGGATCAAAACTACAATAAATTTTTTATTTTTGATTAATGATACAATTTTAAAATATTTTGGACAAAATATCTAAATTTTAACTTGGGACCAAACTTGCAATGTTGTTATTTTTTATTTAGAAAAGAGTAAATTAGAGAAATGATCATTGTGGTTTGGTCAAATTCGTAGTTTTGGTCCCTACGTTAAAATTTTGGTAAGTTATATCCTTTTGGTTTGTGAATATTGCGCTGCAGGTTTTTACTCCATTTAAAAATACCAAATTAAGAGATTTTATGGTATTATGTGTTTTTCGTTTACATAATTTGTTTATATATCAGTGCTTCTTCATTCATTACCTAAATAATTATATTTTTACGTATAACTATTTATGATAAAAAAGCCATCGTTAAAAGAAAAAGAAAATTACGAACATTAATTAATTTTATTGGAAGACTGATAGTTATCCGATTATTGTTTTAATTCTTTTATTCGAAAAAATGTCAAAAAGTCATTATATCATTTAAAAAATAAAATGTCAAAAGCAACATTAAATAATATATTAAAATATAACGTCAAAATTATTAAAAAAAATTTTAACCACAAAAACAAAGATAAATAAATAAAGCAAAAAATAAATAATAATAAAAGTGATATGATTTTATACAATTTAGATAATTGGTTTGAAAATAAAAAATAATTTTATAATGATCTATATTAATTCTATTAATATATATATATATATATATATATATATATATATATATATATATATATATAAATAAATAAAGAAAAGAATTAAAGTGTATATATATATATATATATATATATATAAAGAAAAGAATTAAAGTGTAATTTGGTGGGGATAACCTATCAAATTTTAAAATTAAAGATCAAAACCGAAAACTCCATCAAACCATAGGAACCAATTCTGTAATTTACTCTTGAGAAAAAGGATACCAAGAATTTGCCGTCAAAGAAGTGCAGGTTCTTTCTGCCGTTAAAACGCTGAAAGCCGAAAGCCGAAAGCGCCGACTATCACCATTAGACCCACCAAATCATGCATGCATACAAATTCACACATGCTGAGACTCAAATCGCTGCTACACAGGCTCTCAAGATCTCCACTTCTCAAGAGAACGCAAAACTCACCAGCACAATCTACGCTCTGTTCATCAAGTCAAACACTCGTGTGAAACCATTCCAAGCCGCTTCTTTAATCACACACTTCTCACACTCCGGTGAACTCTCGCGCGCTACCTACCTCCTCCGCCACACGTAAAACCCTGATATCGTTGTATTTAGGTCCCTGATTTCAGGTTACGCCCGTTATAATCAACCCATGCCAGCTTTCCAACTTTTTAATGGGTTGAGACATCTGGGTGTTCGAAGGATTTAAGCAATGCACTTATGGTTATGTATGGTAGATGTGGGTTCAAAACCAATGCAGTGAAACTGTTTGATGAAATGTCTGACAGAGATGTTGTATCTTGGACAGGGCGGATTGCTGTGGCTTTTGATTGTGTAGATGCCTTTAAGATCTTCAAATATTTCATTTTAAATGGTTATGAAATAAACGAGTACGCATAATGCTTTATCACCCATTGAAGGTGCTGAGATGTTGAAAATGGGAAAGCAGATTCATACAATCATATGCAAGATTGGGTATTCGGTTGTGACATCTGTTTGCAATGCCTTGATTTACATGTATAAAAAGAGTAATCAGATGCATGATGCTAGATGGGTGTTCGATGAAATGCTTCATCAAGTATCTTGGAATTCCTTCCTACAACCTAATGAATAATACATTCTTGAAGTATCATCAAACTTGAATTTTCTAAAATGGGCAACACAAATCCATTTGCTTATACTTAAACTTGGATACATCTTTATCAATTCAATTCTTTGTTATCTCTTATTCCAAATGCAATGAAATTGATAAATCAAGAAACGTAGTCAATGAAATCAATACAGTAAATGTGTCACAACTGCATTCTTTACAAATTGATTACATAATTTTTGAAGAGTGGAAGGATAGTTTTTTGTAATGTACTCTCTTTGAAAATTGGAGTTTTTCTGATCTTACAAAGATGTTACACAGAAATTTAAAATATAAATCTATATGAAATATATAGTATGGTTTCTTTTCCATCTCGATCTCTATCTCTAATAAGTTTTTCTGTAAGAAATGTTGTGATTCAAAGATGTTCTTAAGAACACAGAAACCACTGAACGAAAAGCGGTTGCTGCTATTTTGGATTTAATCTGCCCCCTCATTGGTATCACTCTTCTGCTTCTGAAACTTTCTCTAAAAATGTTGTCCATATTCTGAAAAAATTGTATGATGTGTGAGTAAGATCAGATGTTATGTTTTTTAAAAAAATCAGATTGAGGGTTTTATAGAGAAAATGCACCAACTTTTTGAATAGCAGAGGTAGGAAAGAAGCTTCATTTTTTGAATTTAAATTGTTGAGTGGTGTGGGGTTGAGAGGCAATGCCAGCAAATTGGTGGTGTACAAACTATAAAGATTCGTTTCTGCTTTACATTAATAGTTAAGACACACTGAATCTACAATATTTGATATGGTTGATTAGATTTTTCAAAGGAAAAGATTTTGCTTAATGATTAAGAGAAGGTACAGACTACAGAGTGCAACTTCAGTAGCATATAGTACAGATATGGGTTTAAGATTATGTTCATATCATATCTTGAGTACAATTGTAGCATGTTAGAACGTGATTAAATGCCCATGGTTATGGCTAGATACAGTTGATGCTGACTGTGTCACTAAAATAAAACTAAACTAGAAGATTTGTCATGAAAAATCAGAAAATGCATGCTTAAACCCCTGATATTAAACATGGAATCAAGTCTGGTAAGTGAAGGACAAAATGATAATTTGATTACTTCGGGGACTCGTTATTGTAAGGGAATTCCCTCTTATTATTATTATCAGTTACTTATTTTACTATAAATCTTGAAACCATAGGGAATTAAGGGGGTGTTAAAGGACGATGTTACCCACCATCTGGATGGCTAAAGTGAAAGTGAAGGATTGTGGAGACTAAAAATTAACCTTTTAGAATACTGAAGTACTATAAATTTTATTCTTTTTTATCTGTGTGTTCCTTTCGTACAATATTTTGCACTTACTTTTAGCTTTTCGATGGTTATTGCTTTATTCCTTTTTCTCCCCCTTAATATCTTTTATTTTTGGCCATTGTGGGCTTTTGTGTATCATATGTCTCCGATGTCATCATCTATTCACGATTTCACGTAGAACAGAAGTAATGAACAAGAATTGTTAAAGAGAATCCCAAATTGTTGAATGTTTATTATTTCCAAGATGATCATTAAAGCTTACATTCAACCCTCAAGTTTTGGAAAATTGAAATTGTAATTAAGAGAAATCCATGATTTCATGTGATTAACCATTAAATCCGAATAAAATAAATTTGGAAAATATTTGGGAGCCTTGAAACTCTTGCGTGATCAAAGTTAGGCCAAATAAAAGGACAAAATATATTAAACATTTTCTTGATTTGGACTAAAAATGCAAGAAAACAGTCGATTGGATTAAAACTACAGGATGATAAACAGTAGAAGGATGATTTAATTTTCATAATGGACTCCTGTAAAAAAGGGAGTTTATATGATCTTACAAAAACTTCCATCATACATACATTATACATATATATATATATATCATACACGATCATCAATCTATACTCTTCATCTCTATTTCAAGAACTTGCGATTGAAAGATGCTCGACCAAAAACAGAAACCACAGAATGAAAAGCAGTTGCTGCTATCCTGAATTTTATCTGCCCCCTCATTGGTATCACCCTTCTGCTTCTCAAACTTTCTCTAAAAATGTTCTCCATCTTCTGGAAATTGTTTGATGTGTAGTTTACTTGGTGTGTAAGTCAGATGTTATGTTCTCGATCAGATTGTGACGTTTTATATAGAAGAAGATGCACCAACTTTTAGAATACCAGAGGCAGGAAAGAAACTTCTTTTTCGAATTTTAAAATTTCGAGTGGTGATGGGTTGAGAGACAATGCCAGCAAATTAGTAGCTGTATAAAGATAAAGATTCCAATCTACATTTCATTAATTAAGATAATTTGAATCTATAAATTGATATGGTTCAAGGGTTTTGGTCACAAGCTAGGTGCAACTTCATTAGCATATAGTACTGACAGCTAATATCTAATATCAAATAAAGAAAAGCAATTAGGAGTGGATTTAGGAAACAAGATTGATTCTTTTTAATATGAGAATGTGGTGACATCAGTGATGATGATTGTGTTTATGAACATTAACTTGTTCTAGAAGTATCTCACAAGAGAATCAGGACACGTTTTAGAATTTGGAGAAATTAGAAAGGGGGTAAAAGGTAAAGTTGGATATATAATAATGGTCTCTTAAATTAATTAATACCATGCATGTTGGAGTTGGAACACGATTTATGATGCCCCTTGGTTTGATATAATTGAATTGATGCTGACTGTGTATGCATATGGGCTAGTAACTTAGATACAAGTAAATTTCAAAAAATTTCCTAAATTGTGTGGCAGATTGTTAACAATATTATTCTTAAAAAGTTAATTTAATTAATACGTCCCTCATGTCAACCCCATTAAATAAAGCCGGTTAAGCCAAGGACTATGTGGTAATTTCAACACTTACGGGTGTTTGGTTTGCATAAAATATTTGGAATGAATGAAATATGTCAAAGTAATTGGAAGTTGAAAGAATTAATATATGTGTTTGTACTACCAGTATTCAGTTTTATTCCTTTGTTTGGATAGCTTTGAATATATATATATATACACACACACACAACATTTTAATTTTTTTTTCATGTAATGGGAAATTACAAAATATATCCTTTAATTTGAAGGTTTTAGTTATTAGTTTGTTCTTTTATGTAACTGTGAATGTGGATAATCTATGAAGTGACATGAAACTTAAGTGGTGTATTGGTGTATAGACTGTTTGAAAACTTGATAAAAATAATTTTTGGTTGTAAATTGAAAAAAATAAAGATAAAAAATGATTGCTACTAAACCCACATTCAATCTTTGAAGTGACATACAACTATTGGTGTTGCAATTTTCTTCTATTCGTGTAAGTTGAAGGTTTTTTTTTTTTTTTGGTAAGATTAATGTGTTATTTCGTGTAGTCCTGAATTGTGTAATATACAAGAATATCTCTTGTTGCTGTAGAATTTCCTCATTAAGATGCATAAGTTCCATAACATTTAAATACAAAATCATGAATGTCATTGATTTATTTCCCATCAGAAATTACATTAGTGAGCACAACCAAAATCAAATTAATATTGCATCGAATAACATACACACTAATCATGAATTGTATTATCTTGATTTTTCTCCCATTTGATGTAAAGTAGATCTGGAGAATACAGAAGCCATGGAACGGAAAGCCATTGCTGCTATCTTCGACTTTATCATCCCCCTTTTTGGTATGACTCTTTTGCTTTCTTTACAGCTGTCTTCCATATTCAACATCGATCTTTCACTAATTAAAATGAAAAGTTTAGACAAGAGTACAAGTTGGTTTTTGTAATTGTGATAGATATCATCTGCAATAAGAGGGTTTATATAGTCATTCAATTTGACTCAAGACTCTTAAGGAATATTAAATCAGTCGTTTTTTGTAGGTGTAGGGACTGGGATACGACAACAAATTGTCTCCCATAAAAAAAAAATAGACCTCTTTTGTCCAATGTCTGGGACAAACAGAATCCATAATTAGTTTTTTTGTTGACTTATTGAACATATAATGTTTAATGAATCAAAATGAGTATTTTTCTTTATGTTGATCAAAACGGGTAATTGTTCGTTTCTTTTGTTCACTTATTGAGTATAGAGGAGTGAAGTCTTTATGGTGTGAATGCAGGACTACACTGGATTGATTAGTGTGAACAGAATATAGAATAATATTTGAAAAAGTCAAAATATGAAATTGATCATTGGGTGAGGGAGCATCCGGGTGTCTGCAATGGTTTTCCATGTTTTTCTAGGGAAGACCATATCTGCTTCAAGAAATAAATTTATTGAATACAAGCCAAATATACAACTTGCTTTATAAATTATATATCAATTTCTTTAAAATCATTTTTTTTGAAACAACAAATAATATTACTATATATAAAAAAACCCAAACCTAGCAAGTGACTAGAATATAAATTCAATCCTAATTAGGTTATAACTTTAAGCATATCTAAAGCATTTGGTACGTGGTACAACTTCACCAGCACATAGTTCAACAAAGATGAATGGAATTGGTCTTACTAGATTAGTGACTTTTTTTTTTTTTGAAACGGCAAGCATATTACGAAAGCAAAAAAGCAAACAAACAACAACAGCACAAACGAGGAGCTCGAGCCAAATTACAAGAAACAGTCCAAAATAGACGAGGAGCTCCAAGCATGCCAATCCATAGAATTACAATTAGACCTATTTTGATCCAATTGAAAGTGTTTAAACTAATATCATCAGTTGTATTCATGATTGTCCGCCTTTCGTTTCTGAAAACAATCGCATTCATGACCTTCCAT